TTTTTTTTTTACCTAAACATTGCGATTTAATATGCAATTATTTTTCAATGTCTTCTTCTTATGTATTTTTCATTAAACACAAGCAATAAATCAATATGTTTCAGTTGCAAAAAACGTCACTGTTTTCAGCTCCACTGTAACTCTTGTTTCTGCATTTTTTCTGTATAGCTACAGAATAGCAACTTGGCTAAAATGTGTGCGTGAGGACATTCTGTACCGTTTATCTTTTGTGTTTATGAAAGCTGTAAACCCAGGCTTGGTCACTATATTAATGGACATCGTGTCTTTCACAATGAACTCAGTTATTGCTCGAGTTATTTCCGTGTGCAGTTTTGAATTATTTTCGGAGTAATACCTTTGAACAGTTGGGTCAGTGATCCCTGTCGGCTGCTATTTTGCTTACTTGAAGTTGAAGTGCTGGTCGTTGACATTCTAGCCATGCAACTATCGTAAATGGCTCTGTGGTGTGTTTTTAAGTGTTGATAAAGATTTGTGGTGTTACCTCGAGAGGTAGCAACAGCAGCAAGGCAGGTTCTGCACACATTTTTGCGCAGTTTCTTTTTTACAGCCAAAATAATCCCAAACAACGGACGTGCTGCCCCTTTTTGGTACCGAACTTTCAGATGTATCAGCTTCTGTCGAGCCTGACGCCATTGTGCAACCTGTTAAAGCGCAGTGTTGACATCTCCCCGCACCCTGCTCTGCTTTGCTCTGCTCACTCACAAGTCACGTAACCAGATCACGTGACCAGTCCAACTTCAGCCTTCGCGATTGGGAAATCTCATTTTATCATATTGCAATATTATTGCAAATGCAATTAATTGTTCAGCCCTAATTCCTTCTCACACGCACACTTAGCTACCCATTAAATAATTAAACTTTACATACAGAGCAGTTTGTTTTTTGTCTGTAATCATACATTGATGTCCATGAACTTAGATGGAATATATGGAGATATACAACAAATCTAAGTAGAGAATGTTCAGCTATTAAACAGCAGGGAAATAACTATATTGTGGTGATGAACTGTGGGGTGTTTAAAAGTGCCAGCAACCAGGTGTCAGGGAATTTTTGGTCGAGGTTTATGGATGTTTTTTAACTACGATTGCTGAGAAAGTTAACTACCCATGAACCAGGTGTTTGAGTTATCAGAGAGTTATTTTCTCTCTCAGTTGATTTGTTCCTGCATGTGCAGCTGGATGCCCAAGGTCATCAGTGTCTGCCTGCAGCTGTGAAATGATAAGCGTATACAAACAATTATTGCACGCTGCTCGTGGCAGATTCTTATGAGTGCATGTCCATGCATGTTAAACTTCTGTACATCTGTGTAACCTGTAGTGAACGTCTGCCCTTGCAAGTAAAAATCTTCTTGTTTCCTCGAGTGTGGCTTCTTTGAGTACGTTAGATGAATAGAGGATATTTTTTATCAACATTTTGAACCTTTGAGGCCGGCCCCAACATCTGACCTCGAACCTACAGCCTTGGATCTTAACTGTGCATGGGGGAGGTTTGATTTCCTTAACTGAAAGTTCTCTGGGCCCTTGAGCAAGACACTTAACCTTCACCATCTGCTCCCCTGTATGCCTTAGATAGCAGCTCTCTGGAAATCGGAAATCGGCCGATACTTGCATGAGAAACCGATTTTACAGATTTTTTTTTGTTTGTTTTAACAACAATTGGCTAAACTTCATTTATATTTCAGAGCACTACCTCATGGCCAGTTAAAACAAATTTGTATTGTTTCTAGGATATTTTTCAATGGTATGTTTTTCAATAAAATAATATTGGAAAATTGAAGGTGCATTGAGACCTTATAACACCTGACAGTGTCGCTTATACAACAAAATTGGTATCGGCAGGTCAGACTTTTTAGAAATCGGTGATCAGCCAGAAAACTGCAATCGGTGCACCCCTATTGCCAAGTCTTCATGCAACTTAATTCGCTGTGGCGACCCCTGAAGAAGGGAGCAGACCAAAACAAAACAAACAAACAAAAACAAAAAAAGAAAACTGAAAGTCATCATGCAGGAATTTCTGAATTTTAGAGAGGCCAGCTTTGCTGTTGGTTCAAGCAGTGACAGGTGTCTGACCAGAGCAGAGCCACCGCAGAGGGTGAGAAGATCAATGTTTGTTATTTTGGGGAAATCGGGGATCTCAAAAGTGACTCTGTTTGGCAGGTTGTCAGGGACTGTAATTTTTCAGAGATCGCAGGTCTCATATTAGGCAGGTAGTCAGGGACTATCATTATCAAAAGGAAGTCACGAAGGGACTTAGCTGTATAGAGATATTTTTATCCAACACCAGGTATAATTCAAAAGTAATTTAATGAAGAACAACAAAGAAAACAGACAGACAAGAAGGAACAAACCTGCCACCAAGAAGAAAATAAGTTACTAGGACTAATCTCATAAGAGCTACTGCAAATGTGACAAAACCTAACTTAAAGTAGGTAATATGTCACTGAGTAGTGACAGGTGAGTTGATTACAGATGGAACACAGGTGTGTGGACCTGAACAACAAGAAGAGCTGAGGGGGAAGTAGCTGTGAACATCAGCACAAAACCCTAAAAATGACAGGTTGAAATAATTAAACAGCAATTGCAAAAAAAAAAAAAGCAAATACCAGCAGAACACAAACAAGAACACTGGAACATTGTTACATACAGTGATAAAATGCAGGGGAACACAAACATTTAAGCAAGGGAAAGCAAACTAAACTTTAGCAAAGTCCACACCCCTCAATGCCATGCCAGATGTTCTGTCAATTGGGAAAATTACATTAAGTTATCCTCGTGATGGACTTAAAACCTATCCAGGCTCCCCCACCTCTTGCACAGTGACTGTTAGATATGGAGAGTGGCACCAGTGACCCCCTGTGACCTGAAAGGGAAAAAGAAGGTAAAGATGGTGGATGGATGCATGGATAGATTGATGGATGGATAGACTTTTTAAACATTTTTAAACTTTTTTTTCTCATCAAAGTCTGTGAAACTGTTAGTTTGGAACTGGAGCATTGTATTCTTTCATGGAGTTTTTCCAGTCACTTTTCTGTTTTCTCAGCAACATGCTTTGAATCATAGTCGTATCATTGGTTCATCAAATTACTATAAATGTTTTGGCTCTTGTCTGTTTTTCAACACTTCTTGTAAACGTACCGGCATTGTACTTATAACTTTAAAACTGTATATAACTGTGTAACTGTACACACCATCCCCTCTGTAACTTGGAGTTGGCATTTAGGAGGGGATTCTGAATTAATCACATTATGGAACAGTTTCTTGTAATAGGATTCATAGTTTCCTTTATGGAACTACAGTAGTTTAGAGTTGGATCTTCTTTTATATCCAGATATGAGCCCAATTTTTGCTGTCTTGCCAACATTCTGTTCCAGACATTGTATATTAGTTGGTCTAGATATTTTGTTTAAATTAAAAAAAATAATTTAAAATGATGGACGCTATAGTTCATTAAAGCTAAAATATCTGCAGAGCTAATTTAATTTTAGTTTCCGAATAATAGGGATGCACCTATTCAGCATTTTTTCCATACCAATTTAAAGCACATACAGTACATTTAAGTACTTACTAATATTGAGTACTGATAAATGGATCAATAAATCCCATTACACTGGTACTTTGTACACTTATTTTGGAAATATTTGTGAAAACCAGAGAAGCTATGTAGGCTACATTACAAATGCGCCTATTGGTGAGTGGTGAGATTACTTGGAAGTTTGTGTTCAGATCTGCATACAGTATTTGCCAGGCCTCCTATGGTCAATGAGAGACTGTAGAACATATAATGTGCTATTCTTGTGGGTCTGCACATCTTGTTGGAGTCTTTTAATTGTCTGACGGCGCTGCTTGTGGATATTTTAGGAATAGGCTAAAACAGATGGACATTACTCCACAAGCTGCTGAAATGTAACACTGCCGTAAATTCTTACTTGAACACTTTTGTAAGTACAACTATGAGTACAAGCCCCACAGTTTGAGACATCTGTATCAGTGCATCTTACCAGATTTGTGTTAATATGTCATCCTATCTTGCACTTGTGCTGACAATTACACGACGTTACATTCTGCAGTTTTACTGATGCTTTTTTCCCCACCAAAGTGTCGTTCTTGTGAAGACTCACATTTAAATTTAAGCACCAGAACTAGAGGAAATAAATGCTTTGATTTTTTTTTTTACTTTTATATTTATTGATATAACTATTTACTTATACCAATCAACAATGACATATCTGTGCTTTCTGAATAGAGTCAAATACATTAAACACTGGTGGACTGGTGGAAATATAAAGAATTTATGATAACAGAATTTTGTTAATGAAAACCTGGATATTTTAATATGTTACTATAAGGAAGGGACCATGTGGAAATCACCTAAAAGTGACCAAAAACTTCCAGTTTGCTCTAATGAAATGGGTAGTTATGCAATCTGGATCAACTAAACTTTTTTTTGTATTTTTATTTTGCTTAACCCATATTCATATTTTTGGTAAGTGCTGAAGTGATGGATAGCAATAGAACAAAACATTCTGTTGATAGATGAACAGAATAAGATAAAGGAAAATAAGAAGACTTGTATGATCAGTGGGACTCATGAATAATTTAACGTGACACTATTTCACTGAGAGAAAACCAGGGAGGGGCGTTTCCTCTTGCACTGATGCTTTTTTTTTCTTGTTGGGGCTTTCTGTGCCGTTTTTTGATCTGCTAACCGAAGCAGTTTTCTGTGGTGGCATAGTAAATCGAACGCACACAGCGCAGGCTAGGTTATATAACACTACTCCATTCTGGCAGCTTCAGCTCCACAGCATCAAGACAATTGGCCCATCCATCTCCCTCTCCTCCGGACGAGCGGCAGCAGCCATGCTTTGAATCGGACTCCTCGCTCATCGACCCGGACGAGCTGTACCCCTCCTCCCTTTCCCCCAGCTCTCTTCCTGTTCGCTCCTCCTCTCCCTCCCTCCTTCACTTTCTAATCTTGCTCCTTGTCATCCTTCACCTCTTCTGGCTGTGGATGTCCTCCTCACGCACGGGATGGACTCAGGAAGGGAAGGAGGAGAGGGTTGGATGGAGGACCAGTGGGAGAAATGGTAGGGCATGATTTTTATTACCTTACTTATGAGCAGCAGCGTGGTTGTGTGTGACCTTGTGAGTGTGTTACTGCTAATATTCACTCTTATTGTTTTATACCATCTCTTTGCATACTGAAGCTCAGGCAGGAAAGCCCTTGTAGGAAACCGAATACATATCTGTGTGTACATTTCTATAGAGGAGAAGCAAAACATGCAAATGTACATACATTTTTCTTCAAAATAGGACCAGAGAAGCCACATAAGTGAACTGACATAACATTTTCTGTTTGTTTATGTGTAACATGATTACAGTCTTGTTACAGAATAGTTCATGACTGTGTCTAAGAGTTTGCTTTAACATATGGGCTGAATGGAAGTGGGTTGAAGCATTGAGACCGATTCAGATCCTGATCATGCTTCATGCCCTGTCCTTGCAGGAGGGCAAAACAGATGAATGACTGTCAGTATACAGTTCTTGTAATCTCTTCTTGGAACAGAAGCACACATCATGCAAATTATCAGTAGAGGTTGTGTAAAAGGCTTGAGATAGAGTAAAAATGACATGCAAGTGCTAACTCGAGCATGTTCTCTTTGACTGTAGGATCGAAACAGATGCTTGTCTAAGTGGGTTTGATACTTGGCAAAAGATATGCAGAAAGGTCTTTAGCGTTGTCCACCATGAATCTGCTCCTTCCAGTATTACATCATCAAATCTTGCACTATAGCATAAACAATGGTTTAGGTAACCCTTGCCTTCAAATACAAATGGGTAATCAGGTTATTGTCTATGTCTGTGCACGTGTTTGTTTGCATTAGCAAAATATCTCATGAACCACTGGGTCAATCTGCATCTACAACTGATTTTATTTTGATGGCAACCTGATTTCAACACCGCCCCCACTTAGGACTGTCAGACCACATCTCAACCTTCCTGGCTCCTGCTTACATGCCCCCGCTGAGACGCTCCAGACAGGTACAAAAGAAAGTTAAATGTTGGATCCAGGACAGTGGCCTCATACTGAGAGATTGTTTTGATCGAACAGACTGGCAGGTTTTCAGAGAAGCTGCTGAAAATGGAGGATCGTTTGATCTGGACCAATACACATCCTCAGTTCTGGGTTACATTAGTACATGTACTGACACCGTCTCCATTACCAAAAATGTTAAAAGCGACCCAAACAGAAAACCTTGGCTAAATGCAGAGGTGCGTACCCTGCCTTCAGGTCTGGAAGCTCAGAGGAGCTGAAGAAGGCCACCCCCTGGCTCCACTAATGTGCCTGGTGGTGGATAAAACAGCTTTGTCCACTTGCCAGAAATTGTCACTTTGTGCTGCTTCAGACAAGCACACACAAACTGTACACAGAAACCTCCTCTGTTCTACACAAAACACTCATCTCCAAAACTGGAAATAATTACTATTCCAATAGCTCAGTGACGGGGGGACACCGGCTACCACTTGTTTATCTATAAGATGATTATTGTATGAATTTAAATGTATCTGGCATGAAACATGATGCTATTGCATTGCTCCTAAGAATGCATGTGTTCCCCTTTTTGGGGAATATGACTCCATACTGTCCACAATGTCATTTGATAATATATCTACTATAAATAGTAAAACAAGTTAAATAATATTGTAGTGTTATTGTTTATAATATGCTATTTAGCCATCCGCAACAACAAAATGAAAGAGGGTGAAGCAGAACAGCTCAGAATCAAAGTTTCATCCTGCCTCAGCAATGCCAAACCACCACCTTCCAACATCAGTAGAGAGGAGAGAGATGCACTCACCACTCTTAGCAAGGACAAAAACATCATCATTCTCCCAGCAGACAAATGAAGGTGCACAGTGATTTTGAACCAGAAAGACTATCATGAGAAAGTTATGACACTCCTTAGTGACTTAACCACTTATGAACCTCTGAAAAGAGATCCAGGAAGTGGTTACAAGAAGAAGTTAATAGATTGCCTGAAAAATTTGGAGCAGGACAAGGCTATTGACCGTATTCTGTACCACAGACTGTACCCAGGGGAGGCCACACCTAGTCTGTATGGTTTACCTAAAATCCACAAACAAGGTGTACCTTTAAGACCTATTGTTAGCATGATTAACTCTGTCACTTACAATGTTTCCAAATATCTGGCGTCTGTACTCATCCCTTTAGTTGGCAGCTCAGAACACCACATACATAACACCATGGACTTTGTGGATAAGGTGAGGGATGTCATCATGGAGACTGATGAAACAATGGTCTCTTTTGATGTCACATCACTCTTTACGTGCATTCCTGTTGATGATGCAGTAGAGGTGGTCAGTTTAAGATTAAAATCAGACACCACTCTGAGCAGCAGGACCACGCTTTCCACAGAACAACTGTGTCAACTCTTGAAACTGTGCCTGCAGTCAACCTACTTCACATATGGGGAGCAATATTATAGGCAGAAACATGGGTGTGCTATGGGGTCTCCAGTTTCTCCTATTGTTGCCAACCTGTACATGGAGGAGGTAGAAAAGAGAGCCTTGACGTCCTTTTCGGGGACACCACCAAGTCATTGGTTCAGGTATGTTGACGACACCTGGGTTAAAATTAAATCTCAGGAAGTCCAACATTTTACTGACCACATCAACTCTGTGGATAAATACATCAAGTTCACACGAGAAGATGTAAAAAATGGCAAGTTGGCTTTCTTGGACTGTGAGGTCTCAGTCTCTGATAGAGGACATTTGCAAACCGAGGTTTACCGCAAACCCACCCACACAGACCAGTATTTGCAGTTTGACTCCCATCACCCTTTGGAGCACAAGTTAGGAGTCATCAGGACTCTGTAACACAGAGCAGACAGCATCCCCACTAGCTCTGGAGCCAGGCAGAAGGAGAAATCCTACACAAAACAGGCTCTAGAGCAATGTGGATATCCTAACTGGGCCTTCCTGAAAGCAGAGAAGAAACCCAAACAGGACTCCAGTCAGCCATCAGGTGAAAAGGAGGAACCCAGACCAGTGGTCATTCCGTATGTTGAGGGGGTATCAGAGAAACTGAGACGTTTATTTTCCAAACATAACGTCCCAGTGGCTTTTAAACCCCAAAATACATTACGGCAAAGACTGGTTCATCCCAAAGATCCAGTCCCCCGGCACAAACAGAGTAATGTTGTGTATGCTGTTCAGTGTCAGGAGGGCTGTGATCAGTCTTACATCGGGGAAACTAAACAGCCACTGGCCAAAAGGATGGCCCAGCACAGAAGATCAACATCATCAGGCCAGGATTCTGCGGTCTACACTCATCTCCAGGCCAGCGGTCACTCTTTCAAGGATGAAGACGTTCACATCCTGGACAGGAACGATGGTTTGAGAGAGGAGTAAAGGAGGCCATCTTTGTGAAAAGAAATCATCCATCATTAAACAGGGGTGGAGGCCTCCGGGTTCAACTGTCCCCCTCTTACAATGCTGTGATTGCTAGTATCACTCAGTCCTCTGTGAGTAGTAAACAGCCATCAGTGTGCTAATGACCCATTGTTAGGCTGATGGTCCTTCTTGAGCATGTGATCAGCTGGTTTTGGTTGTCAGCAGCAAACTGGTTGATCCACTCTAAGAAGGTGCTATTTAAGAGACTGAGCTGAAAACAGCACCTCAGACTGAGGAAGTCTCTTGGATGAGAGACGAAACGTTTCTAGATTTTTTTTGCTTTGTTTTGCTTTTGTTTTTTTGAATGTCCAGAGGACCAGATTGAACTTTTTTGGAATATGCTATTTACTTTCTGGTAATATAAGCTTGCTGACACAAGAAAAAATCTAGGAAAAAGTAAAAACATTTATCATTATGACTTATAATTGACTTCATGTGATATTTGCAAACAAAAGCTTTGCATTCATGTGCAAGCTTTGAATAACAATTGTTTTGTTGATGCTGTGGGAATGAAATCTGGATTTAGTTAAGGACAAATGAGCTGGTTTGGGCTCATCATGTTCTCAGCGTAAGGTCATACTGTCCTTTATTAATACACACAGAGAGGCACACCATGAAGACACAAAAACACCAGCTGGCTGCTCTGTCGCCTCCCGCTGTCAATAAAATGCAGCAATTTACCTCAAATCCACAGTGATGCAAACTAAAACATCACTCCTACAGAGCTGTTGTCATCCTTTGTCTCCTACAACATAATCTATCAGCAGAGAATATCAAGGAGCATTTAGAAAATGGGATTTAAGCCAAGGAAGGACCAAATACTGAAAAGAGTAGTGATGTCCTGATGCTGTGCCATAATGGTAAATGGTAAATGGACTGTACTTATACAGTATAGTGCCTTTCTATCTTATTAAGATACTCAAAGTGCTTTACAGCACAATCTGTGTCCTCATTTACCCATTCATACAGCACTCTACTAGATCTCTACAAAGAATAATCAGAGCTTTATCACATTCATACACTGATGGGACGCACATCGGAGGCAATGGGAGTGCAGTGTCTCGCCAAAGGACACTTCCGAATGTGACTTCTGGTGGAATCGAACCCCCAACTCTTGCATTGGAGGACGACTGCTCTAACCACTCAGCCACAGCTACCCCAGGTAGATAAATTTAATAAGGTTGAGTCAGGTCCTCTGGATGGATTCTATTCTCAAAGCAGTGATACCACAGCAAGACTTGTGTCAGCCAAGGTGAATGATGAGAACTCAAACCTGTTCAATTTAAAATTCCTATTGGACTTTTATACTTTGTATATTTTCAGGATCCTTGTCAAAGATTATATAGTTACAGTTCCCAATATTTATTTGAATTTGAATTTACAGTGAGGAAGATCAAATATGCTTAAAAAAAGAAACCACCACAAAAAAAGCACAGCAGTCCCTCATTTATTGTCGGGGTTTGGAACCCCCCCATTCACAATGATCGAGAAAGCACAAAGTAGGGATACAGTAGTCCAAGTTCAATTAAACTTTATTGTCTGTGGTACATGAGATGGGATGAAATTATGTACACAGGTATTAGTAGTAAGCAGTAGAAGAAGTAGTAGTTTA